CTWWWWTTTYCYTWWYMGTGTTTTTTTTACCATAATAAAGGTAATTCACAAAAAAATTTTTATTTAATGCCTGATGCCCTATGAACTGCCTTCTGAATGAACCTTTTTAAAAATTTGGTTAAGCATATTCCCACAACATAGAAGCTTCTCTGATGATAAGTCAAGTAATTATGTGAAGGAGTCCCTTTATGGGAAAAATTACAACCCCATTGATAGGGACTTGGATCATTATAAAAGTCAAAGTTGTTTAAGCCTCTTTAGACAAATAATGCAAACACTGCACTCTAACTAGAATGAAGATGTACTACTTTACTCGACTGTCAATCAAGACATGTAAATATACCAACAATAGCAATTCAAACTGACTTAGCAGGACAAAACTTCTGACTACTTTCCATTAATTAAGCAAATTTTTAAATTTTATTTTGAAATTAATATATTGCTTTTTAAGTGAAATATGTAAATACAATAATGTCACAGAAAATTTTCATTCAACTTATAAAAAAAAATTTCAGGAAGTAAGATTTTGAAAGAAAACAGACTTCAAGTAAGTATACTTATGGTTGGTTTTTCCTTTAAGTACACATTTTTGTTTCAAGAGAATTCTACTCTAGAAGCTGTAGTTTGTAGTAATAAAAAAACCTGCAAAACTGACTTTTAAAACATGCTGGTTTATGAATAGAAACTGATATTAATGCTCTGCCAAAAGAATTGCATTTCTGAAATGAAAATCCAAGTGACTAAAATTTGAAAACAGATTTAACCTTTATGCAGAAGTACTGGTTTACATTTTCTTTTGGGATGTCATATGCTCAAGTTGGCCAATATATTCCACAAGATTCCTGCAATCCTGCTTGAAAATTTCTGTTTCAGAATGAACATGCAATATGATTAAGCTGGAGAGAACCAGAAATAAGCTTTAGCTAGTTTTGTGGGATATTTTTCTTAAACATCATTTTTCCCTAAAGGAAAATTAAGGAATTGTCCGCAGTTAATTCTCTGATACATTTGGAACTTAATATTGAACTTCAAAGATGGAGACAGCACACTATCCCTGGACACATCAAACCTAATGCTTAACTATTTTTCATTAGAAAATTTTTAAATGCCCAGCAGGTACCTTCTTTGCTGGAGTTTAAGCACTGCTCCCTACTTTCAGAGAACTTTGTTTGCAGCAGTCTTGCCTCATTTCTATCCACTCCTTTAGTAGTTGTGGCTGCCCCATCCCTGGAAGTGTTCCAGGCCAGGCTGGATGGGGCTTTGAGCAACCTGGTCTAGTGGAAGGTGTCCCTGCCCATGGCAGGGGAGTTGGAACTAAATGGTCTTTGAGGTCCCTTCCAACCCAAACCATTCTATGGTTCCATGGTTCTCACCTCCTCTGCTGGTCACATTTACTGGCTTTCTCATTATCACCAGTGCTGTCCTCCAGATCTTAAATTGCTATGGCCAAAACCAGGGCCTTAGCAATGGCTAAGTGGAACAGGAGGATTAGTTCATACATCTTCTTCTTTTCTACACACAGTGCAGTGTTGTTTTTTATAACAACATGATATGGCATACCTACAAAGCTATTTCTGTAGGGCTTTCCTTCAGACAACTATTTCCATCCCACATTTATAAGGATGCAATGACTGTCCTCTATTTTCTCAGATGGCATCTGCAACTCATCAAATAGTTTTGAATCTTAAACTGTCCCTCAACTTACTGGACATTTTTCCTTCACATTTGCACCTGTATGTTCAACACAGATCTCCTTCCCCCTAAATTGTTATTTCAAAGAATTTTAAAAGTTCTAAACCAAACCTATGTGGTCAATTATAAAGGCAGGCAACCAATGATTCCTGGATATCAAATATGTCTCAGTTCCTCTGGAATCATAGCAAGGATGGGCCAAGAGGGACATCAGCTGGGGCAAATATGTTTAAGCCAGACTTCAGGTTTTAAGGGAAGGAGCTGCAGGTCCATAAGGATGGTGGCTGAAAAGCTGGGAGGGAGGAGACTGGGAGTACTCAAGATAAAAAGCCAAGGAAATGTCTTGCCTTGGGTGACAAAACAGCCTTGCTGTGGTTCTGAGTGTCTCTGCAGTTGTAGGAAAAGAGGATGGGTATCCAAAAACTGCAGTGACAACTGACACACTGGAGTTCTCTAACAGATGGTGACATTTGCAGTAAATCCTAATAACAAACCCATAAATTATACAACAAACTGGTTTGTTATTAAGCCAGGTCCTAATTCAATGCCCTTTAGAGTACAACTCATTACTTCTATTGACTCACTAAGTGTTGCTTGGAATTAAAATAGAGCTTTAGAAGCTTCTAAATCCGTGAGTGCATCCCCAGCTGACAACCAGAAGACAGGCACTGATCAGTAAGAGTTAATTTTAAATATAAATAATTTATATGTTATATAGACACCAAAATTGTTATGAACTGACTATCATAAAACTAGCCTTACTTTCAGAAATTATACTAAGAACACTATTCATACTCCTTAATTTCACATAAATCAGATTTAGATGGTATATGTCTGAATTTGGTGTCTCAACTGTAGATTTGCAGCTGTCAAACTATCTAAAAAGGAATAGGGAGCACTTGGGATTTTCCTCTTCCTGTATAAAGTGAGCTCCTTTTTTAAATTTTTAACACTTCCCCCACAAGCTCATGTTACATGTTAATTAGATAATGAACTTCTAGGTGTGAATGTTTGTATAATACCTTGTGTTTAAAGATGCCCAGGGCTACACCCTTAATTTTAACAACAATTATTTTTAAGATGTATCTAGTATTTGTAAAACTAAAAGAAACAGCAACTACTTATCAGTGTTAACAGCAAACTGACTGAACCATAGCTTATGACCTGCATTTCTTACTCATTAAATTTTAACAGGATTTGATATCAGATGGAACTTTTTGGATACTTTAAAAGTAACTTCTACACAGAAACTAAGGGAAAGGGCCACAGAAAAGGGTTTTGCTGCTATTTGGGGGTGCAGGGTGGGGGAGGTAGAGCAGAGAGAAAGGTGTTTTTAAACCAAGGATTATGTAGCCAACCAGTAACAAATTTGTTTGCACAATCTACAAAGGCATACCCACCTCTCTCTGGGAAAAGAGTTCTTACTCTGAACAGATTCTCAGTTTTTTTGAAGATACCAGGGTTGTGTTTACAGATTTAAGTGTAAGGCATTCAGAGGCTCATCAGTTTGTAATAATTTCATAACATTAAATTCAAGCAAAAAATATTACTTGGTGGTTCACCCTAGCCTGGATTTTCCTGACTAGAGACTTATTTGAAAAAAAGAAAAGGAGCTTGGGAATTTGCAAAACAAGGAGCATCATGGAGTGAAATAGAATTTACAAGGGAATTAATAGTTTGGGGAGCAGAAAAAACTATACCCATTTTTAAAGCAATACTTGAACCAGAGTGGAGAGGTTGCAAGTTCTTACAAACATTGAGTGCATCACCTTTTAAAGAAACTACAGGGATGTTGGCTGCAATATTTTTTAGTTTTAATTTCTTTGCAATAGAAGCCAACAATTCACCAGCACACAGTGTGCTAGAAGAGTATGCATTTTATTTCTCAATGAATCAGCAACTTAAGCTAAATGTAAGAGCTTTTACAACAAACTTATCTTGGGTTTTTATCATAAAAGGTTAATTACTTACCCAATGATATGCTGATCAATGAAATTTAAGTAGCCTTTAAAATGCAATAAAAATAGCACAAAAACAAGGCACACTTGTTGAAACCATGCAGGAAAACAAATTGCATGCTCTCATTCCACTAGAGTGAGTGGCTTTAGTAGCACTAATCCACACTCTGGCAGAGAAAAGGTACAATACAAACAATACCAGAGAACTCACAAATAGTGCTCTATAGAGTGAGGTAGTGTTTTCACAAAAGACTAGTCCCGATGCTCTCCTCTCTTTTAAGTATCCACACCCAAAGTTTCCCTCGTAGATACTCTTAGGAAGATGGAAATGGAAGGAGAAAGCAGAGTGATGGGATTGTGGCAGAATGAATGCATAAGCAGCTTTACTACACAAAAAAGTTAAGGAAAACAGTCAAAGGATTCCAGAGAAAACAGCAGATAACAAGAAGTAAATATTTGTCATTACAAATAGTTTCATCTGTTACATGACTTTCTGTAGCACAGCAACGTGAAATGCTTTTTGAATTTTATTTTTTATTAATTATTCAAATATATTAACCCACTTTCCAAGTTCACTCCTGGTGGTTCAGATTTATATGGCAGATCCAACTAAGTAAATTTAAGAGACCAGCCTTCTACACCATTTCTATTTCCTTTTCAGATAAACCATCCCAGTGTCTCAAACCCACAACTATGATGCACCCATGCAAAAGAAATGCCTGTGTTGGGGTAACTCAGCACTGTAACTCAAAAAACGGCTGAAGGCATGATCTAAAGTGTACTGGTGATAAGCATTAACTTAAAGCAATTTTCAAGGTAATTAAAAGTGCTTATTCATCTAGAAAACATTTCAGCTATAACATTAAATCTGAGCACAAAAGTCTTCCAAACTATTAATAAGGGTCAGTTCTTTCTGACCCTTCTTCATTCTCTTTGAATTTTCTCTTCCCCATAAATACAAGCAATCTAAGAAAGTGTTTTTTTGTTATTATTCTATATAACCCTTATCACTGAATATGAACAAAACATGAGAAACCAGCAGACTTTCATGTTTAAATTGTAAATATTGTTCCATATTAGAATCCTGTGGACATAAAAAAGCTGTATTTACTATAATTCACTGCAGTTTATGTAGCAGCTCCATGAAATTGTCTTTATAGAATGTACAGGAATCTTTTCAGTTCTCCTGCATGAAGAAGCCTTCCCATGGTATTTCCCCCCACCTAACTGTGAAGCCTTTTTGTACCTGGTTTTGGAAAACTTGAATTTAACACAGTATCATATTATTTTATTGTTGTAAACTTGTACGTTACTTTCTATTATATTCTTTATAATACTGGAAAGAAAATGACTTGAAGTTAAATATGGAGTCATTTGTAGCAAGTGCTTTTCTGAGCTGGTAGAACAAGTAAAAAATAAGAGGGTTAAAGAGGTCCTGCATTATGACCAACATTCTCAACCCACCCAGGCAGTCTTGTTCTCTAGGCAGAACATCAGATGCAGCAATAAGAAATTTGGGATCCTGTTTCCAAATTTCCTAACTGGTCAGCTTTGTGAAATGAACTTCCCCTTTCTGTGCCCTAGAGTTTAGATTGTCTACTTTAGAGACAATGTTAGAGAATGCTTGTTTAAAACAGGAAGGTAAAAAATTAACTTATGTCAAAGCCTCTGAGTATTTGCTGGGGAAGTTAATCTAATATAGAGAAGCAGAATTGTATGGAAAGGATTGGAAATTGTGGATGAGAGAACTCTGAATCATTTAAGTAAGAGGCTTTAGTTTATTTTAAGAAATAGATTCAATTTGTTTATTTAGAAATAGAACAAGAAAATACAGATATCTGATCAATTGATCTAGTGCATAAAAGAGACAGCAGACAGACTTTCTGGGTGCTGCATTATTCTGAAACTGATGCTAAGCACACCATAATTCTATTCTACTACTGCTTCCTCTCTACTGGAGTAATTATTTTCTTTTTCTGCTAAGTTACAATTTGCCTGAATTCAGTACAGTGAGGTTAAAAAGATAATGTGGGGATCTATTCCAAATGAGTCTTTTTAGTTTTTAAGATAGCTCAGAAATACTAATTCCAAACTGTGCTCTATACACCCTGGAACAACCATGTAATCACTAGTCAGTGATGTAAATTGTTTGGGCTATTAAGGTTTGATTTGTTACCACCCTGATGCAGCATTTTAACTTAAAATTGAGCAGATAAATTTGCAAAATGCAGGCAAAAATATCCAAGGCTTGAAAACTATATTCCCTTGTCAGTATTTCAGTCATCACTTCCAGAACTTCTCTTCTAATAGCAATGCTGAAAAACAGTAAAACTCAATGGTAAGCTTCCCATATCTCTTTATAGCAGGGTTTACTTTAATACTGCTATCAGTTACAACCAGGAACATTACTTTACTAACCTGAAATAAATTCCAAAACAAGCTATTTTACAGTCCCATAGGATAATCCCTAGAGTGACAGAATCTTTATTTTTTTTAATGTTTTGCACAAACAAATAAACAAGTCTGCAAACAACAATCTGATAGCAATCTTCTCCAAGTGTTCTGCCACTGTAACATCAACTGCACAGTATTCATTTCATGATGAGGACTTCAGTACCTTCAAATCTCCAGCAATACCCTGAGCCAAAGTAAGCAAGTTTACCTGAACTCAAGGAAGTGGGTTTTTCCCAGTTAGTTCCTTAAAATTCCTCATGCTAATCCCATACTATTTATAGAAAACACTGTGTAATAAAAACATGCAGCCTTTCAAGTCCAGGAAAGGAGCATTCTTTAAAGAAAAATCACACTGATCAAAGAGTAATGTTTTAATCAATAGATAGCTATAATACTATCCTACTAAAAAAGTGGACCTTACAATACACGTTTTGAAAGAAGAGAAAGTAAAAATCCATGGCATAATGTGTGTTAGTAAAGCAGTGTGTCATACCACCAAGCAGGACATGCTGGAAGTACTCAAGAGAGATCCATGACAAAAGGGTGTCCAGCAGAATGGAACTTACGGGCAGATTTCTTGCCGAGTCCAAGTAGAGGATAAGCAATGCAGATGAAAGCCCATCATTGGCTTGGTCTTTGTCAGCTCTAATGCTTGTTAGCACCTAAACCAAAAGCACACTGTAAGCCTTTCTGAAAATCAAGTACTACTATTCCTGTCTCATTTCTGAAAAATGTTTTAAAGACATCTCCTGAAACACAAACGTTCACAAATTCACCCTGTGACACGAAAAGTAAGTTTTCAAGACTCGTATAGATTTTTATGGGATTTTTATTAGATTTTTATTTCCATTTTTATGGAAATTTCCACCACATTTCCTAATTATTTTTTTTTTAGATTGGACAGATTATAGTATCATATCCAGCTCTATATCCTGGGCTAATGAAATGTTAGTTGCTATTCTCAAACAACGACATTAAGAGAAAAGAATAGAATGACAAAAGCATTTTAAAATCCCGTGTCACGTTATAGTCCCAATAGTACATTGACAGTTAGGAAGGGTTTGAGATTTCTGTAGACATATAGCTTGGAATAGTTACAGGTTTATCCGATTGCACAACAGCTAGAGAATTAAATTACTTATGTAATTAACAAACAAAAAATCACTATAAAATCACCCCACAGTGATTAAGATTAGAATGAAAGTAATGTGTTCCTTTAATACCTTGTCTAGATTGTCAGCAGTTGGCATCAATGTGAGCCATTCCAGTTTTAAATGCAACTTGCCTTTGGACACTTCATCCAAAGTAAACCACTGAAAATCAAGCAAAGTAATGTGAAATACTTTGACACCAAACAAATATATTACTGCAATTGGTTCTTCAGGATGTTTAGGAAACACTAAGCTCTACTAGACATCTCTTAGAGCTGAAGTCTGCATAAACTGAAAAGATCTGATTCATTGTTCAAAAATCACATAAAATATTACAACACAAATAACAAGAAATAACATAACAAAAACAGTCAGACAAACCTAACTATGTAACTCTGTTATATAGTAAAAGCATCTTTAAAATACCAAGAGAATTCTTTAAGTTCTATAAAGGTGTTCTGGGAATACAAACCCTGCATAACGCTACTATAAAAACTTCTCTTACATATAGGACAAAAATTAGTCTGCTAAGTCTAATAATAGTTAAACTGGGTAATTAACTACTCTCTTGCAAGAAAAAACTCTCATCAAATATGTGTTACTATTTTTTGCATTTACATAGTAGTAACCTTAAAACCCCAAGACAGTCGAAAAATGGCATTATTTTTCAGATGTCACCAGTTCAGATATTTCTTAAACCACTGTACTGATCATCAGGGGATCCATTTTTATACCATTAAGGTTATTTTTGCACATATAGGAACAATACTCAGGAAAAAAATAATGGAAGAACAACTACATATACAACATATGGATCTTTTTAACCCAAAACTTACTGAACTTACCTCATCTAGAAGACGTTCCTTTTCAACTTCAATTAAATCTATCATCAAACTAGAAAAAAGGGAAAAAAAGAGTAGTGTTTTAGCTAAGAAACAAAAGATCTAATACAGAAGTCAGCTTCCCCTGTGCTTGCTGAGTATCCAGGCTTCCACTGAGATCAAAAGAGCAGAATACTATTCTTTTAGCCCCTAAGAGAAAGAGAAGTAGGGAATGAAATGGCTGAACAAAGATGAGTGCAGGGTAACAGAAAATACACCTATGCTAGAGCCCAGTTTGTAGCTACAGGAGCAACGACACAATATGGTTCACATATATATGACCAAAATCTCAAAACAGAGACCATGTCCAAACTACCCTCTGCAAACAGCACCTGGACATATTCTGTGACCAAATTCATGCTCTGGCAGTGTCTGGGAGAGTGCTGGTTCACACGAGCTAAAAATGTACCAGGGAATGAATCTGCTAAAAATTAAACAGGGCAGACAACTGCATGCCAGTGCATGAGCATTTGTCTGGCTTTTTATTTTATTAGTACTGATGTCTACATTATATCACTTCCCCCACCACCACCTCAGTGTAAGATTAGGGAAGTGCAAAGAAAAGAAGCCTTTGTACTACCTACTTCTTTATTTTAATGAGAAGTAGGTACTGTTGCTCCTGTTAAGAGAGAAGGAGCTGGAAAGATAAGGGAGTTCTACTCTGTATGGAAAGCAACAATGGGAAGCTCCAAAACTCTGCAAGAAATAAAGGTGACAAATTACTGGAGAAAGAAGGTGACTGAAACCCTGAGATGTTTATGGGTAAACACCTGTGGCCTGTGGAATCCAAGAGTGACTCATGTTTGCAAAAGCATTACAGAAATTTTTTTTCTTTAATCAAATAGTTAAGATCAGCTCTTAGAGAAAAATAAACTAGAGACAGTCATTTAAAAGCTATGATGATGAAGAATATACACAGTTATAAAACTGTATGAACTTTGCCTGAAGAAATAATCAAGACTTAGTGTCAGCTGACAAACATTAAACAGCCAGGGCACAATTCTGGGAACCCACAATACTCACCTTATTTTTTTCAGAAAGACATAAACATATAGATATGTATATATACATACAAGTACATTTTAATATAAATATATTTACATACATTAAGTAATTAGGGAACTACTTACTACCTTAGTTTTGAAAAGATAATTGATTTATAAATAGTTATATAGCAAAACCACAACTGTAATAAAATAAAAATAATAAAAAGACTACATTACAATATTTCATCTCTTTTCAACACCCACTAACATATTCTCCATAACATTTACCTTCCCAGGAAGTCATCTTTGTCTGGGTCTTCATCAAAGAGCTCAATCTCTAGTTCCTGTCCTGGATGTTCATAGACTAAAGCCTGGAAGTACAGTGAGATGGCATTGTCAGTGGTTAAACTAAACTAAAAAGTTGGTCAAATGGCACAGTAACAGTAAAACAGTGAACTGCAGTGCCTTTGTGTAATAACATAGATCAATAAGTAAATGCTTTAAAAAAGCAATTTAAGGAGCACAGAGAGATGAGATTTGCTAATGTTTTTCCGATGAGATTTACTGATGTTGGCTCTAAAAGCCTAAACTGCTTTTCAGATTCGTTGGTGCTTAGTCTAGACAAAAAAAAAAAGTATATACATCAATGGGGAATTTCTGTTTTTTTGTTACAGAACTCTGGGCTTTTTTAGCTCCTTGAGGACATTCCCATTGTATCTTCTTTAACAAAAGAAACTTTAGAGGACAACTTTACAGAATGTACAACATGGTATTTTTATTGGTTATACCTCATAAACTTCATTCCATTTTGGATTGAGGTTTTCTTTGATGACCTTGCTTTGGAAAATCTGGTTGCCCACACGGATGATTCCATAAGGATCTGACTTTCCTTTGACAATCCCTTTTAGGTAAGTATCTTTCCCCTCCAGATCCTGAGCTTCAATAAAGTGTATCCTTAGAACACCCTGAAAAGGGAAAAGATAGATCTATGTAGTAATGTGAAAGCTTCCATGTCATCACAATTTATGTAATGGATGTTTTATAATTTCCATTATGATTTCCTTAACATGAAACTTAGTTTGGACACACTGTAAAGAGAGGGATATCAATGATGATCCCAACACACAATAGACCTAGCACTCAAGAGATTCCTGGAAAGAAAAACTGTCATCAACCATTAGAAACATGGCAGTTATACCAAGAAATACCATGCTATTGAAAGTGAGTAGCAACAAATAGTAACAACTTTTAAGTGAAGCACACTAACAATAATTTACAGTGATAATATAAACCATATGCTACTTAATTTTTAGTCTACACAGTTTAAGATTCTAGCAAAAGAGAAAAAAATCTTTCTTGTTGTTCTTATGAAATATTAACTCCACAGAAATTGCTTATAAATTAAATCACTTCTTTTCAGTGACTGGATTCACAATAACTTGTACTACTGCAGTAACCACATTTAGAAATTCACACATGTGTCCTTAACAGTTACTACTGCAGAAAAAACTAAATGCCAAATGGTTAGTATTAACAGAAACATGCTTACCTTTGGTATAGGAAACCGCAGTTGAGCAATCTGCACTTCACTGACAAGGGGGACTGTGATTCTATTTGGAAGGACCAAGTAGTTGGATATTATATCCAATATTATTGTATCTGATAAGCCACTGTTGGAGAAAAGAATCCTCAGTTATTTCATCAGAATTAAAGATGTTATGTCACACCAATAGAATCCTTTTGCTACTTAAAAACCGAAATGGAGAAAATATTTGCCTTTCTGGGGGGAAGAAAACATCTGGTTTTTAAATACCTTTTTTTTAAGTAAAGGATTCTTGCCCAAATGGCCACCAGGTGGAAGCAGCTGACACTAAATAGCAGAAGCCACAGGGATGAATAAAAAGTTCCCGTTTCCACGTCACAGCCCAATTCCCCCCTCACCACCAGCTTTTAAAACCAGCCAGGGTAAAAGGCTGTTGCATAAGTTTTCCTGCTTACATTGCATATAACCAAGCAGATGGTAACTGTTAATTTACTTTTGAATTTAAATAATGATTTAACTGTCCCTGGAAGTTTGGCTACCCATTCCTGTATTGTTATGAAACCAATTGTCCTTTTGAGCTGGGAGGACCGTCATTTAAACCAGAGACACACTGAAAAAAAACTCGTGGCTGAGTTAAATGTAGCCTAGGGAAGCAAAACAGGTTTTGTTCTGTGAAAAGGGAGTGGCAGTGTAATCACACTGGTAATGAATCATTTAAAAACCTAAACCCACACCCTTCTACAAACACAGAAAGGAGAACAATTTCCTAAGCTAGGAGTTCACCCAGTTTGGGTCTGAACTGACAACAAATCAGTTCCCTGTCAGACCAACAGCACTGTTTCCTCACGGTGCCTACATGGGCCACAGGCAGAACTGGAGTGCTACAATGCACCATGGAACACAAGTATCCTGGAAGATTTCAGGAGTCTGTGCAAAGGTTCAGAGAGAAAATGATAAAAACACTTGGGATACTCTGAACTGCAGGTGCAGTCTTGCTAAAGCTGGTGGAGCTGCTTCAGGGATGAACGATTACTCCTCCTAAATACACTTCACGATTCCCTTTTTGGTCTTTGTGAAATCAAGATGCAGATAATGCTTGATAACTTAGAACATTTTTTGGATGAAGCACTTGTGTGTAAGCACCTTGTGAAGTTTTCCTAAGACTGAATCTGCAGCTGGGAGTAGCTCTGACTCAGGAGGTAGCACATAAAACCAAAAGTGCTGCAGTGTGAAATACATACTGCATTTTCATTTCAGAAGGAAAATTTGTGGTGAGCAATAACCATTATGCTAGAGAAGGGTAACAGAAGGAACCCATTTAATACAATCCCGTCCATTAGAAATGCACATTGATCTTTCATGCCAGAGATTTGCAACCTGCACAGCCTGCATCCTCTTGGCTACCCACTTCCATTGTAAATCCAGATGAACTATCATACTTGATAGAACATTGGATGACTTTTTAATGGTATCTGTACAACAGGAACAGAAGGAGCTCAAGATCAATGGACAGGTCTGTGCAGACCTGTGGCTAGAACGAAGCAACAGTGGATAAAGTTAAGATACTGTTCAGAGGAAATGTTTCCTCTCCCCTTCTGTGAGTTAATTCACATCTGCCCAAAAGGAGTCTTCATTCTCCTTCCCTTCATGCAGAGTTTATTCAATCATATTTACAGAGATTTTCATTCTACATGAACCCTAGAAATTCATGGTTTCAGTAATTCTTAAGACAACTACTACCAGAAGATAATCGTGTTATCTGAAAAGTAGCTTACTTTAGCCATCATTTTAACATGTTGCTTTTCAAACTTTTTCAGTTCCATTTTGCTAAACATCTAGTTTTCAATTTATGTGTGCTAAACTTTCTCTGAAATGAGCCAAGAAAATAGAAATCATTATTTTGTTAGAGTTGACATAAACACTGAAGATAAACATCTCAACCAGTCTTAACATTAAAAGGGAAAAAAAGGCTGAGGTAATGGTAACTTCACAAGCAATAAGCACACTTTTGAAAATACTTCAAAACTTCAGTGGAAAGATCAGATAAATTTGTTTTGTTCCTGCTTTTGTTAGTATCTCTACCTGGAAAGAAGAGAAAGTTCTGCCTTTATGCTCAGTGCCTTAAGGAGAAAACTAACTGACCTAGGTCAGAGAAAGTAAAGGAGCAGTGCAAGAGAGGCAACTTTAAAGAAAGGTTATCTTCTCTAGTATTTAGTTAAGATTGCAGACATTACAAAATTAGCTGCAGGCATAAATAAATGGACTCTAGACAAGCAAAAGGTTCAGAGATTGACTAATGCTCAAATAGAGCTACAGCAAGTCTCCTCAACGAAGAGAAAGAAACAGCCAGAAGCACAACACAGCCCAGTCACTGGGAGGAGTCACAATCCTTTCTGCTAGGACCAAACCGCACCTCTGTGATTCCAAAGTCAATCTCGTAATTTTATCCCAACATAAATGCTTGAATTTCACTAAAACACCTGAGAAAAAGAGCCAGCATTAATGAAATGTCACTAAGTGTTACACAGAGAAACTGGACTCCTAGGAGGTCACAGATATCCTGTCTTCAAAAACATGGAGCTGAAAAAGAACACTGAAGATCGTAACTAACTAATGAATTAAATAAATTCCAAAACAACGTGATGGTTTCAAGCTGTTTAAAAATTATCTAGTATTAGCCAATTGGAATGCTCCCAGATACAAGCATTCTTCATGAATACTAGGCAAAAATGACAATCTTTTAATTGTTCTGTTACTTAAAATAAGAGGTCTGATCTATGGATAACAGAGACAAAACACTGACCAAGCAACAGAGAAAGCTGTAGCAATTTCAACCCTTATGTTGATGCATCATTGATAAACAGCTTCCTAAGATCATAAGACTCTAGTTATTCATTCTAAGTACAATTATTTCTTCAGTTCATAAAAATGAAAGAATTCTGAAATGTTTCATATAGTTTATTAAACTGTGTCTTCAAAAGCTCAATTTCATTGCAGAAAAATAATTGGCAGTTACATCCCTTTTGTATTGCTCTATATTTAACTCTACCTAATTTTTATCTTAGAATAGGCAACTATGTATTTTTCCTGTGCTGCCTTTATTTGTACTGCAGACAGAGCACATCTCTCACTGCATAGAGTGTTTTTACTGTATCTCAAACAACCATAACATCTTCCCATCACCCACATCCCCTCCTGACAGCTCTTGAGTATTCTCACAGCCTGGCTCCTCCTCACAGGGAAATTTTAATTCCACTTCTAAGCTATACTAATGATGGAATATGAATCACTTTTGTATCTTTCTCCTTGGGGAAGTCATATAGGAAGAGCAATGGAAGTTGTTAACAGCTGACAGGGAAGCTTCCAGCAGCAAATGCAGAAATTCAATTAGTAGAAGACATTTGCAAACAGATTATGAATTAGTAGTTCAGTGTGGAGCCAACAGCTGCAGCACTAAAAAGGTACCTGTGGCAGCAGCAATCTCTTGTTCATCATTGTTTATAACAACTACAATATGTCAAGTTGTCGTACCAAAATATTCAACTTATCTATACAGATAAGGAAAACAAATACAGTGCTAAAGAAACCTCTTGGCAAGGTAGAGAGTAGAGAAAGCATGAGTCACCTCAGTTACAGTTACTATAGAAACTATACCACATCTAGATGGCACCAGTTTGTGCATGTGTGGCCAAGTTTGGTTGCTCTGGAAACCATAAACTTGAGTTATTTAGCGAGACTTTGTTTACATCTGAGGCTTTGTGTTTGCAGTCAGGCAAATATGCACCAGGATATGAATCTCAGGAGCTTAGTAAGCTTAAGTACTAAATGTAAATTTAGTCCTGTTATGTCAAAAGAGCAAATTATTACTCAGGAGCTGTATTTTGGAAGCCATTTTCTCTCACTCATGAAGAAAATCTCTTTCCTCAGAGGCAGCCTTAAGCAGGCTTGAAACATGAGCAATTCTTGCAGCCATTAACCTACTTAATGCAAGTTCTAATTTGAAACTGTTCAACTGGGATTCCATGCAATGGCTTCACGTGTCTAAGTAAAGCAAAACCTGCTTCACTCACAAAATTGAGCTCTAAAGGATTAATTTAATACCTAAATTCAAACCCTGTTTTTAAACAATAAAAAATAATTCTGCAGTCAGCCAACTCTTGAGAGTATGGGGTCTAATAAAAGGGGTAGTCACAAAATACAGGCATGTATCAGATCCACCATTATCTCCTTAGCCATTGTCTCCATATTAAAATGCCCCAGGGTATCTATTATAACTTCATAATTATGAATATATTAATGGATTTAACTTTATCAGGATTGCATGATTCAAAGCAGCTTGGTTTTCACCTCTATTGATGCTTTCTTCTTTGGGGTATTAGGAAAAGCTCCAAATAAGCTAAGCATTTTTTTACAGCTATATATTGTCAATATTTCTGCTACTCCATTTGATCTTCACATAATAAACTGAAAGCTTTAAAAGTAGGCACTTAAAGAGATTAGAAAGTTTATTTAGTTTGAGTACAGTCTTAAGGTATTTCTAACTACCTTTACAGGAGCAAATAGAGATGGATTGGCATACAAAGCCAGAAGCCAAGATGTTGTGAACCCACTGGTGTGAAAAAAGGGCTCTTGGTCTTTCTGCTGTCCTAGGCCATGGCAGATAGGATATTCACACAATTCTGGAAGTCTGGAAAGGCTGAGAACACTTAAAAATGCAGATTAAAAATTGTATTTTCAAAGTATTGTTAACAAGGCCTACTAGATATGCTTTTGATGTACTTTGACTTGTAGTGAAAGCACTGCCTTCTGCAAATTGAGCAATTTCATATAATTCTACATTATAACTGCTCAGAGTCATCTAACCTAAATATGATTTAATTGATGGTCTTCAGATTTTCTGGGGTTTACTAGGGTGCAGATATAACAAACACTGCTCTAGGTATACTCACTTCAGGCCAGGAACATCCAGAAGATTGGTCAGTCCAGTCCAGTTAATTTCCAAAAGCTGTGAATTACAGAGAAAAGTGGGAGGAAAAAAAAAAAGAAAGAAAAAAGAAAAGCAACTTAGAATTCATAAAAGTCAGGGAATAAAGCCAATCGCTATAGATTCTGATCTGTGGAGAGTTAATAACCAGTTTCCAGGATTTTCTCAAACAAATGAAACAAGTCTTTTCCATTCTAAGGAATATTTAGACACATTTTTTAAAACACTTATAAAAACTCACCATCCTCCTATCCACTCTTACACATACACATAAATACACACACCCACCCCCCAACACACCCATGTACACAGGATCTACTGCACATAACCAACATAGAATAACGAAATGTGGTCCTATTTTCTGGAGAAATATTTTTTGATTCAACATAGACCTGTTGTAGACGAACAGTCACCAACATAAATTTGCGAAAGTATAATAAATTGAAGAAGAATCTCCTGTGAGACCAGGAAAATCAGAGATCTAGAAGACATGACCTACAGAAAGAATGAAGGATTGGAACTAAGAAGGTGGAAGGAGGACAAGACAACAGCTTGCAAACATAGAGAAGGCTGTTTTCAATGACCAAGAGACAAATTCATTCCAGCACTGAGGCAGTAAAGAAGAAAGGTATCAACAGGATTAAGTATAAAAGTGAGAAAAATCCTCAGAAATAATTAACATTGCTAGATTAGATTCACTTTCTTCACTGAAAATCTTTACAGAATATTACGCTGTATAAAGGTACCTATTGTAGGACTGCTGGCATCAACAACTAATATAAAATGTCCTTGTCAATCCTATAATATTCTAATTCTAGGTAACAAAACCAACAGAGTCGAGTTCCCTTATTTCCCTTCCCACTGAATGCTTTCTATTAACTGCACAGAACTTAACTGAATATACAAGCAACAAACAAATCCAAACTCACCCAATCACCACCAAGTTTCCAAATCTAAATAACCCAGTCTAAGCATAACTGCATGAAAAAAAGATTTTGAGATACCTCAGTTAAGAGATTAACTGTAGTGTTCAGCTAAAAGCTGAAACAAAACAACAGATCTCTACAAGAATATATGTTATGTATTTCCACAGACAGGAATCATCATGCTACATTCACTGTCTTTTTAAAAAAAATAGCACAAACCTTTCTTTTACAAAAGGTCTATTAATAGTTTAATTAGTGATTTCCTTTGTGAATACTTCCACTAAAGATAATACAATACATTTACTCATAATAAGGAGCACTGTTACTTAATATACTTTTGTAATGGTGGCAAAATATTTCAACAATGTTACCTATAAACAACATTACCTGGCCTACCTGCAGCAGACAATTAAGCTGAAAAAAGTCATTATCCTTATAACGAAAAAGGTAGTAAGATGTAATAACCAGATATTTCAAAACAAAAGGCAAGACATATCATGGGACATTGTGCAAGAATCTACACGAGCCCGCAACATGTCCTTGCCACAAACAAGGATAATGCTGATCTGGGCTACAAAAATTACTGCCAGCAGTAATTACTGCCAGCAGAGGTGACTCTTCCCCTCTGCTCAGCACTGAGGCCACACCTGGAGTGCTGTGTCCATGCTGGGCTCCTCAGGACATGGACATACTGGAGAGAATCCAATAAGGAGCCATGAAAACAACTAAGGACTGGAGCATCACGTCACGAGAGATGTCCAGTACCTTCCTTATCCTTGTGGCCCTTCACTGGACTTGCTCCAGGATGTCCATATCTCTGTTGTACTGGGGAGCCCCACACTGGACTCAGCACCCCAGATGTGCCTCACAACCTCCCTCAACCAGCTGGCAATGCTTTTCCTAATGCAGCCCAGGGTGCTGTTGGCCTTCTTTGCCACAAGTGCACACTTCTGAGTTCTGTTTCCCTTTCTGTCCAGCTGAACACCGCCTCTCTTTTTCTGCAAAGCTGCTTTCCAACCAGGCAGCCTGTCCTGGTCCAGGCTTTCTAGGCACAGGACTTTGCATTTCCATTTGTTGAACTTCATCAGATTCCTGTTGGCACATTTCTCCAGCTTGTCAAGATCCCTCTAAATAGCAGTACAACTATCAGATGTATCAAGCACTCCTTCCAGTTTTAAGTAAGCAAACTCAGTCAGAGCACACTCTGTCCTGTCATCCAGGAACCCATTAGAGACAATTTGTTATAAAATGGGTTCTTTTACACTGGTATGTAAGCTTTAGTTGTACAGTTCTACAATAACAAATTATGAGCTAGAACGGAGAACATTTATATGTAGGAAAACTAAAATTATTTCAGTACATTCTTCTTTGAAAATTAATTGTGCAAATTATCAGTATATGCTCTCAAATCTCTTCCTCATCTTAAATCCAAAAAAAAAAAAGAGTTAAGAAATAGATAACTGCACCAGGACAAAAAGTCCAACTCAGTGTGAATAACTTCAGTTTTGCACTGCTTCTTCACTCCTTCAAAGCCACAGATGTTTAATAGAGCAAACAAGTACCTTGGTAGTAGTTGATAAGACTAACCACAACTTGACTTTTCAGACTAATTCTCTTGTTCTAATCACAAGCTTTAACTGTACATTATGTGACACTTTAAAAATCTATGTAGTCTACCAAGGATCTGGAAGAAATAATTTTATACTGTTTTAAGACAAAGAACCTAGTTTATTATATGATTATTTTTTCATTATTCCTAGACAAAATAAAAGGGAAATGCTCATCATAAATATCTCCAAAAAGTAGTCTCTACCCAAAGGTGTTTGTACCTGCATCCCATATTTAACAGTTTTACATAATGATATTTTCAGACAGCATAGCGAATGAGAAAATATCTGCATTTCCTTTGCTTTTCCTGTTTTGTTTAGTGTATTGCATATGACAACTAATACAGCAAAGTCCTGTGCTGTCTCCTAAATAGACTTAACCCAATAAATGCATTGAGCAACACAATGCATGCTGAAATTCAGCATTGAGAAACATCTCCTGTGCTCAACTGAAACTCGTGTCATAGTGGTTTCTGTATTAACTGCCACAATCCAAAACAAAATGAAGAACAACCTAAGAGGTGCCACTGAGAACTGAAATATTTTCCACTGATGTGGCTAAAAAGCATTTCAAAAGTTTGCAACAGCATATGAAACACAAACAGTGCCTGTGGTACAACTTCACTGTCAATACTTTGATTATTACACACATCTTCTCAAAAACAAGGCTACCTATTCATTTAGTCATCAGTTCTCAGAGCATGAAGAATATAAAAAATAATTACATAAAAATCACAAAAAAACAGTGCTAGTAAGAGTGGCCATTTAGACAAGAAATGCAATTCGTACCTATAATATCAGAAATTCTCTTCATCTACAGGAATAAATACAAAGGCCAATTTCAGAAATGTTAAAGACAAATCTTTTCCAGTCAAAGTTGAAGCTCAGAAATTAAAAAAAAAAAAAACATTACTAAGGCTAAGCACTTTACAGGATTATTAGAAAAGCTTTGCAAATAAATCTTAAGCCATTAAACGTTTTGGAAGGAACATGAGCCTTCCTGGCATAAATCAAGCTTTTGCTGTTTGGGCTTTGAAGGCAAGTTCTCCTTGCAGACAAGATTTGTTACATTTGCCCACCACAGAGCTTCCTTTCCAGTTCTACCAGAAGCAACCAGCAGGAACATACAGTTTAATCTTAAGTCTACAGGTATAAGTGACAAATGCTTTTTTCTGGTTTTGTTTGGTTGGTTTTTAATTTTAGTGTTCTATCTCTCCCTGCCATCACCCCGACATTCCTTTCAATAAGGTTGTTTAAATTCTGCACTTGGCTTTCAAACATAATCAGACCAGCATAAGATACCCCTTTGGTAATGTAAGAAAATAAGAGTTTTCCACACGGCAACAATAACTCAGACAAAAAAAATATACCTGCAGTAGTATAGAAATAGCAGTGGCAGCAGATGAACTCATAGTAGACTGAGAAGAAAGAGAGGCAAATCTACAGAATTGCTTGATATGCAGGAGGGAACCCTTCTAGCCACAGTCTAACTAAATAACAAGGATTTTCATTCTACTTCTTGGTCTTTCACATGCCATGACTTGCTGGAGCAGAAGATGATCTCCTAACCTGTGGCCCTGAGGGCATGTTAAAGCAACATCACCACCCTAACTAACTGAAGAGCCCTACAGAGAAAAAGGGAATAAGCAAAAGACTGATGAATCTTTTATGAAGCACTGAATATAAAAAACTTCCATATTAAAAAATCGCTAAATGATATAATTTCCTTCTCTGTCACCACTTTGAGCAATGCATGACTCTCTTAGTTTAGCTAAATTCAGGGAATGCCAGCTGGTTCTCTGCAGCAGAAAAAACAGGGCACTGGAAAGACTGTGTTCAGGATTTGTCACCAAGTGAAATTCTGCCAGAAGCCAGAAATGATGCAGTGTCTTTCCACAACACATTGCAACTGAGAGAGGTGCTAAGCCTTGCAGAGACTCTTCCCAGCCACCTCACTGGCCTGGAGCAGGATTTCAGACACCAGTTACACTTTCCGACGAAGTAGAATGTGTGTCTTGTTACTCAAAGCTCTTTCAATTCTTCCTCTGCTCAGAGAAGTGAAAACAAATTATGTTTCCTCCCTGAAAACCAAGAAATTCATGTCTTACCAAGGCTCTGTACTGAGAACTAATGTAACACATAAATGCAGTAGAGTTTAAAAAAAAATAAAACAAAAGAATAAACCCCTGCAGTACATAAGAAAAGGCTAAAAACTGATGAGCTTTGAACATATTGGGTGTTCTCAATACCCTAGAAACCTTTATAAAAGGAAAAATATGTATTGGAATGTACAATACACAGGGCCATAAATAAAAGTTCACAGCCACACAAAACACTGCCAGCCTTGTGGCTTGATTTGGCTGCCATAAGCACTACTAACTCTCATAAGAGAAGCCATGGAGTATTTTAAAATGCTGATTAACAACTTCCTGCTAATCAAGTTATGGAAGCATAAGACTTCTGCAGGAAAAAATTAAACTCTGCTACA